ATCCCTATGCCTGGGCGATTAGATTTGATTGTTCTGTCTGTGTGTATTTTAAAGTCCCATAAAATTGTTATAGGTTCCATCACTTTAACCGGGTCTGGGTGGTGTTCATACCAGTTATATGCAATTTTCTTCCTGTAAAAGTTGCATATTTTCCATTGCAGACATTGGCCCGCTCTATCATGCTGAGATTTATTATTATTATTATTATTATTATTATTATTATTATTATTATTTTACTTCCTTTGATTTCTTGTGTGTACACATTTCTTTCCGGGTTCCGCTCAGAGACATAAGGTTAGAAATGGCATCATTACATTTTCCAACGACCATCTAAAATAAAACACACACATATTTTACATAGACAAATCCCTTCCTAAGGTGTAGGCTGTACTCGTGAGAACATCTTTTGTATTTCTTTCAATGGCTTCCAGGACTTTCTTCAATTAGTTTATTTTAATCTTTTCCAACCAATTCGAGGGCTCCAGTCACAACGGGGATTGTTGATGTTCCCATGTGCCACATTTTTGAGATTTCGATTTCAAGGTCCTTGTATTATAATAGCTTTATTATTATTATTATTATTATTATTATTATTATTATTATTATTATTATTATTATTATTATACTACAAATATTAGTGTTAGTAATATCAGTAGTAATATTAGTAGCTTGAGAAAAGGCGGAGAATGTGCTAGACCAGTAATGCAGTTTTAAGTGTCACACATTTGTAGTCGTATTTGTAATAGATAAAATGAAGAGAAGAGAAAGCAGCTGCTGCACTACAGTCGTCATGGTAACTACTGCCATTCCTTATTGCTGTGTTTTTTTTTGTTGCTCTAAAATACAGTCGTTGCATGAGGGTGTTTCTGTGTAAGACACACTAAAAATATAGAAGATAAAAAAAGAAAATCTCTTCATGAAAGTGTTATACTTCATAACTATTAGGTCGAGTCATAAATAATTTCCGTTTTTGTTTATCAACTTTTATTCTTAATCAAACAAAGAAAAAAACACAAAACAACTACAGTTATATTTTATTCAATTATATATTAACCATTATTTGCAATGAGTTGTTACCATTTATCAGGTAGTTCAATATCTTTTGAGTAATCTTTGTTAGTCATTTCCCCCTAAGCAAGGCAATAAAGCCACTAAGACGCGGGGGGTGGTTACAGAGTGTGAAACAATATTAGAAAAGGAGAAAAAAAGAAAGAATAATAAAAGAACAAAAATTAAAACGACAGAAGATAACCGATCGACATTTTGCATTTAAACTTTTGAAGATAAAACTTGACTTGCAAGCAAGAAGCTGGCAAAGAGTTCCACAAGCGACAAGTAAAACTTGTCATTGGTTTTAATTAGAGAAAGTTTTTTTTTATAATCAAATAGTTTGGCAAGCAATCGAAAAAGGTAGTAATTGGTTGGTACAAAGTCAAGTATGTAGTGAGTCGGGTCGGGTGGGACGAGGATAGCCGAGTTCAACATTCCCAGAAAATGTAACTAAGGTCCGTTCAGTATAGTTGCCGTATTAATCACGGGTGGGGCCCTGTGGGGTCAGTGGACGTCTGTAATAGGGATTTGCTAGTCGCTCTTGCAGATGGGTGTAGTCGGAAACGAATAGTCAGCCATTTTCTGTGTGTGCGTGTGCGTGTACGTGTGTGTTTGTGTATACCAAATAGTTACAAATGCTTTAAAAAATTAAGTAACAATAAGCAGAATTACAATAAGAGCACACACATACATGCATGCGTATACACACACACACACATATATATATATATATAAGTATGTGTGTATATACAGGGGACAATAAAGACACTATATAGTTATATAAAAAAAGCAAAGCATTGAAGCAGGTGGCTTGCTGTTCGAACAGCGTCGATAATTAATTTACTATTGTTTACCATAGAATTTTATTGTTATTAACTACAATTAGCCAGAACCATTTTCATAATAAATTTATCGACTGTTGATTACTTAAATATTGTAAGTAACTGTATAGGATTTTATTCCCATATATATATATATATATATATATATATATATATATATATATATATATATATATATATATATATAGTCAGCCATTGTTCGTGTGTGCACATATAACAAATAGTTATAAATGCTTTTAAAAAGTTAATGAGTAATAAGTAGAATTACAATGAGAGCACACACATACATTCATGTGTGTGTGTGTGTGTGTATACAGGGGGCAATAAAGTCACAATACAGTTACTTATATTAAAAAAACAAACCATTGAAGCTTGTAGTTCAATCAGTATCGGTAATTAATTTACTATTGTTTACCATAGAATTTTATTGTTATTAACCAGAACCATTTTAATAGTAATTTCTGGACTGTTGATTAATTGCATTGTCTTAATTGTTATTGTAAGTAACTGTATAGTGACTTTATTGCCATCCTCTCCTTCTTTCTTTTCTTTCTTCTCTCTCTCTCTCTCTCTATATATATATATATATATATATATATATATATATATATATATATCTGTGTGTATGTGTGGATATATGCGTATATATGTGTGTGTGTGTATATTTACATGTGTGTATATATTTGTGCGTGTGAATATATATATATATATATGTGTGTGTGTATATATTCATGTATATGTGTGTGTATATTTATATAATGATAATGGACTCTCCCATCGGTTTCGACGTATGGGGATCTGACAGCTTACTTGATTCAGTTATGAAATTTTTTGTGCACTAATCTTAAGTGGCATTTAAGACCTGCTTGTGATTTACAAAGGAGGCCACATATGCCACCCCCTCTCTCTCTCCTCTTTCTTTCTTTCTTTCTTTCTATATATATATATATATATATATATATATATATATATATATATATATGTGTGTGTGTGTGTGTGATATATGTGTGTGTGTGTGATATATATGTCTGTGTATGTGTGTATATATGTGTATGTATATGTGTATGTGTGTGTATATATATATATTCATGTGTGTGTATATTTGTGTGTGTGTTTAGAGTTATGTGTGTGTATATTTATATATGTGTCTGAATATATATATGTGTCTGAATATTTATATATATATGTGAGTGTATATTTATATGTGTGTGTATATTTATATATATGTGTTTGCGTGTATATTTATATATATGTGTATATATTTATATGTATATATATTTATATATGTGTATGTATATATTTATATATATATATGTGTGTAAGTATGTATTTATATATATATATATATATGTAGTGTATGTATATATTTATATATATGTGTGTGTGTATATTTATATCTATATATGTGTATATATTTTATATACGTGTGTGTGTATATATTTATATATATATATGTGTGTTTATATTTATATTTATATAGATATGTGTGTGTGTTTATATATTATATGTGCGTGTGTGTATATATATATATTTGAGATACAAATACTTTTTTGTTGGGCTTGGTATATATGTAGTGTCTATAAATTTAGGTGAAATATTTAAATTTATTTGCAATCCGGAAATCCCATCAGGCACAAAAAAAAATGGATGTCGTAGAGATATTCTTTTTTTCTTTGTAAACATTTTAAAAAACAACCCAAATAGCATATCACGTATTGTAGGAAAAAAAATCTATCTATCTATCTATCTATCTATCTATCTATCTATCTATCTATCTATCTATGTGTGCGTCTATCTGTGTCTGCCTGTGTATGTATGCATATAACTTCATTTATATTTCTATCCATCTATGTGTGCATGCATGTATATATTTATTTATCTAAGTCTAGTTAATTATCTATCTACCTATATGTGTATATGTATGTATGCATCTATCTATCTATATTTGTGTCTATGTATGTATGTATGTATGTATCTCTCTGTGTATGTATGCATCTAACTATTCATCTATATTTCTATACATCTATGTATATATGCATGCATTTATTTATCTTAGTCTATCTATCTATCTATCTATCTATCTATCTATCTATCTATCTATCTAATTCTGTTAGTTTTACTTATATACCAAATAAAAAACCAACTCAGTGGCCGCAACTGTAATATTTGCGCCTTTTATACCCACTGAAACCAAACATTGAATTTAAAAGTAAGTATACTCAGAGGACAGTTTCGCTACACGATCTTTGTTTTTCTGCATCGCCGTTTCTTTTTTCTTCTCGCTGTAAACTCTTCAATCAGGAATTAATATAGACATTTACCATTTAGTTCATTACTGACAGTCTAAATTTTTCTAGCAGGATAATGAGTTGTTTTTCTACTTGTATTATTCTGCTTGTTTATTTTCTTCCTTTTCTTTATTTGCAAACAGCTTAAAAAATTTACTAGTGGGGTTGGTGATTAATACACTCCAAATTATCTCGAGGTCATGCATAGAAGAGCCCTTTCCAACTTTACATCCTATCTTTTTTTTTTACTGTTTTTCCCACGCTGAAACTTTGTTGATTTTTGCTCTAATCCTGCGTAGCATGCTAATGGTAATATTAGTCGTTTCCTTATAAGGAAACATTTCGTATTCATTGACCGATCAGCCAGCACTAATGTCGGTTAAAAATTATAAAACCTTTAAAACAATTTATCAGGAAAATAGCTCAAGACTAGTAGCTGTTATCACTATTTTCAAATATTGGTGAGACTTTCCTTCCTAACCTTTTACTTGAAGTTGTGTGGAAAGTTAACATTTGATTTCGGCTTCGTGTTACACGTGATATCCATTTTAGCTGCTGCTGCTGTTGAAACTCCTCACGTGAAGTGGTACCTGACAGTTTGTGATTCCGTAGCACCGGTTCAAACGTTCGATGAAAGGTCGTCTTCACCAAGTCCCACAGTCTTCAATAGCTTGAAACCATTTTTAACGACTCATCTCAGAAGAGGGTTGTGTACAGCCGACAGTTTAGATTATCGTAACGAATCCAACAGGAGTTGGAATCTGGATCTTTGAATAAAAACTCAGAGCCGTTATCTATTACACCACCCGCACATCCAAGCTGACAGAACATTGTATTCCTGGGCGGTTACTCATCTACGTACTGACCAGGCTCGACGTTTCTTAACTTGGGTGATCGTACGGAAACCGGTGTTTCAACGTGATGTTATATATATATATATATATATATATATATATATATATATATATATATATATATATATATATATATATATATATATATATATATATATATATATATATATAATGAATCATTCATACAAAAAATATTGTTGTGGATTCCGGGATGGAATCCGGTCTCAAATGAATGACAAACGCAGGGATGAAATATAGCAAATAAATGTATGGACGTAATAATACAATTGGTAATACGGTTAGTACATCCAGAAATGCGGTTAGTAGCAATAATAATATATATATCGTCTGGGGAATTCAGTATCGAAGTAGGACTTCCTTCTGAGTCTACGTGCTCGCAACTGTGACTCCTACAAAGCGGTTACCGCACTCTCTCACTGTATCACTGTATAAGTGTATCTCTTTTACTCGCTCTCGTTTAGGTATTCACCGGCAGCAGTACAAGTACACACTGGTCGAGTCCACTTGCATGAAAATGGGTGGACCCCATAACAAATACAATATGAATTGAACTGCACCACATATTTTATATATATATATATATATATATATATATATATATATAATAGAGAGAGAGAGATGTAGTGCGATGGATAAATTGTCGTCTAAATTACGCAAAAAAAAAAAAAAAGAAAATTATATTGATATCTCATTTTAACAGATACATTTACCAAAAGTGCACAAAAATATCTTGAAATACGAAAGAGTAATTCTATTCAATTAAATCGCATTTGGCTACAACCACGGCCTCCAGACGACTTCGGAATCTAGTGCGGCCCTTCTGGAAGGTCTGATTGTTGAAATTGGTGAATGCTGCAATAATTCTTGTCTTCATTTAAACTTTGGTGCTACAAGGAGTTTTTTCGTCTCTCGCTCAACTGCGTCTCACGCATAATTATCAACGATGTTACAATTTGGGGAGTTAGATGGCCAGATGAAAGGGGTGATATGGTCGCAGAAATTGTCTGGCAGCCATAACTGAGTGTCCTGCTTGTGTAGCATGTTGCAGAATCTTGTTGACAGGCATAGATTCCTACCGGTATACGGCTTTATAGTCAATTGCCATCAACCGTCGTTGCACTCTCAAGTGATTTCTTAGAGCAGCCATCGACAAACAGACTCTACCACAATCTGTGAACGTCAGATCGAGCTGTCTGCTGGTGTCTTCAGGAAATTCAACGGGGACGCCTTTACGCACATCTCTTTTAAGCATTGCGTGCCTCTTTTGTCTCATCCTCAAAGTGACACCTTCTAATCCGAGCAGCCTCATTCCAATTATTTTGATCAGATGCACATTCTTTCCAGTGTTCACAAAGAACGCTGCAATTCTTCAACGCATCTTGATGCAGCCCTTAAAACGCATCTTAGGTCTGATGGTATATACACACACACACACACACACACACACACATATATATATATATATATATATATATATATATATATATATATATAAACTTAACAATCGCCCAAAAATTAGACCTAGACGACTGAATAAGTTGCATCAGTAAAGCGCAAGCCTTTATCACACAAAGAAAGACCACAAAGAAAATTTTAAAACCAAAACTGCATGCAGACTCATAAACCCAACTAGGTAAAATAATTAAAACGATACTAGAAAGAATTAATTCTGAACTAAGGAAGAAGTTAGTAGTAAATCAATGGAAAAATACAAAAGCAACTATTGATTGGTTCCACAACATAAATAACAAACATAATTGCCAGTTTATATAATTGAGACATAAAAGAATTTTACCCATCCATAACAGAAGTCATGCTAGATAAGGCCATCACGTTAGCCCAGGAACAAATAAAAATAAACACAAACAAAATCGATATCATTAAACACTACCACAAATCACTACTAGTCCACAATGAAGACGCATGGATAAAGAAAGGGATCTTTGACACCACAATGGGAAGCTTTGACGGTGCATATATTTGGGAAATCATAGGTATATATTCACTTCATAAACTAAGCGAAATAATAGATAAAAATGATACAAGAAGATGGCCTCATAATCTTAAGAAATTACAACAGCAAAATACAGGCAAAGCTAGAAAAGCAATAATAAAGATTTTTAAAAATAACGGATTTGACATAGATATGAAAACTAACCTAAACAAAGTAGATTTTCTAGATGTTACCTTCAACCTGAGAAAAGGCACATATAAACCATACAGAAAACCCGATGACAAACCACTCTATATACACATATCCTCCAATCACCTGCTTTCGATAATCAAACAGATACCAAAATCGATTAACCGGAGGCTTTCCGACAATTCTTGCAATAAAACCATATTTAACGAAGCCAAGAAAGACTACGAAACAGCCCGAAAAGATAGTGGATTCCCGGCAACACTCACTCACCACAGAGCACAGGAAAGGTCAACAGGAAGAGAAATATCGTATGTTTCAACCCACCGTACAGCAAAAATTTAAAAAAAAACGTAGGTAAAATATTCTTGAAACTAAACAAACGCCTCCCGGAATCAAGTACTCTGCAGAAAATATTCAATAAAACACAGTAAAAATCATCTACAGTTGCATCAAGAACATGGCACAAATAATAAAAAATCACAACATGAAAACTATCAACCCCCCCCCGAACAAATTAAACCCACGTGTAGCTGTAGAATAAAGAATGAATGTTCCTTAAACGGTAATTGTTTACAAAACAACGTAATATACCAAGCCACGGTGAAATCACCAGATAATGAAGAAAAAGTATACATAGTAGTAACTAAAGGAATCTGGAAGCAAATAAAATATGCACACAAAATATTTTTCACCAATAGTAAATACGCGAACAGCAAAAGTACATCTGGGAAATTAAAAACAAAACATAAATCACACCAAAAATATCAAGGAAAATAAGGAAAAGATTACCAGTCTTCAACAATCAATCAAAAACCTGCAAACTTTGCTTGGAGGCAAAAAATACCTATTATTACCTCTCTAAACCAAAATAAATTACTAAATAAACAATCTGAGCTTATCTGAAAATGCAGACATAAAAACAAATATTTACTACGTTACTTAAAAAAATAATATAAAAAAAAACAAGTAAAATAAATTAACCCAAACAAATAATAAACAAGTTAACAGACCACTCCCGTTAGAATAGACGAAATAGAATCAATAAAAATAAAAACATAAAATACAAGTAAAAATAATCAACCCAAATAAATAAAGTAAATAATAATAAACAAATTAACAAACCAATCCCGCCAAAATAACCGTTAGAATAGACTACAATAACCAATCCAAAAATTGGACGTAAAATAGCTATAACTGCTATACAACGATAAAAAAGAACATTTCTACGTTACTCAAAAATCGAAAATCAAATAGAGTAAATAAAAATATACAAAATAAAAAATAAGTAAATAAATAAAAAACAAATAAAAATTAATCCAAATAAATAAATAAATGAACAAATTAACAAATCGTCCCTGCTAAAATAACCGTTAGAAGTAAAAAAAAAAAAAAAATAAGCATAGATTAACAAATAGAAATACTCAATCCAAATAAATAAATTAAAAACTGTCCACCCGCCAAAATAACAGAATAGACTACGGCAAGCAATCTAAACATTGGAAGAATAAATAGCTTTGTCTTCCCAGACCAAAACAAACCATTAAATAAGCAACCTAAGTATATCATTCCAAATTTCTTTTTTAATGCGTTAATAAAATATCAAAAACCGAAAAGAATAAATAATGCAACATGAAAATGTAAAATAAGTAAAATAAATTAGCCAAGTCAATAAATAAATAAATAAACACACAAGCCACTCCCGCGAAAATAACCATCAGAATAGATTACCCACAATGCACCACTGAGCCATATATATATAAATAGTCGAGGAAAAATCTAACATTCGCAGCCTGACGATTACCTCTAGCATGAAACAGCCGGTCGTCTCTGAGTGTTGAATTCAATGATCACTTTTATATTTATATCTACATACGCTCTATCACTGATATTGAGCACTTTATCCCATAAATATAGCATACGTTAAAACTATATTTCTTCATATATATATATATATATATATATATTTGCATGTATATAACTGTATATATTTGTATGTATATAACTGTATATATTTGTATGTATATAACTATATATATTTGCATATATATAACTATATATGTATGTATGTAACTATATTTATATGTATGTATATAACTATATATATATATATGTATATATATGTTAATGTATATATATATATATATATATATGTTTATGTATATATATATTTATATATGTTTATGTATATATCTAGTAGTACATGTGTTTATGTATATATATATAAATATATATATATATATATATATATATATATATAGTTCTATGTGCATATATATATATAAATATAACTTTATATGTTTATTTATAAGTATATCTGTATGGATATATATACACATGAATGTATGTGTGTGTATATATATATATATATATATATATATATATGTGTGTGTGTATGTATGCATTTTTATTATTATTGTATCTATTAAAATGACGTATAAACCGAAAATATACTAATTGTCAGATGAATCCATTCCCTAATACATATATATAATATATATATATATATATATATATATATATATATATATATATATATATATATATATATATATATCAAACAATAGGAAAAAACCATGAGATTTATAATTCAGCTTTCTTAGCATTTGTTTTATTTTTAAGAACAGTGCTCGAGACAAAAAAATAGAGCAGAATACTATTTTCTTATTTTTTGAAAATATATATTTATATATTTAAAAAAATATATATGCACATATACATGTGTATATATTATATATTTATGTATACGTGTTTTATATATATATATATATATATATATAATATATAATCGTATGATAAATTGTATAAAAAAATTAATCACAGCGCCTTTTCTGTCGTATGTAATGAAATTGTGTATGTATATATTTATATGCATGTATGTACATGTACTTATATGTGTTTTA